TATATCTGACAGTATTTCTCTGCTATACATAAGGTTTTCAGTGACTAAATATTAGCAAGTAGTTTGTCACTCTTTCTTCCTAGTCTGTCTTCATCTGGAAACTCATTTTAAACCTGTCCACCGCTGGTGACCCATCTACCAGAGTAGAGGCTATTTATTTTACATTCACAATATCATTGCAGCTAGAAGTTCATGATACTTTTAATATTCCTTACCAACACCATAATTCAAATGCATCAATTCTTTTTCAGTATCTTTATTCATTTTCCAACCTTCATATGCATTTTATAATATAAATGCATGCGAAGCTATTATAAATACCCTGGTCAGTCAGGTACATTTAATCCTCAGAATACCACATTTGATCTTTAACACTTTAAAGGGCTCATTTGCTGCAGGTTTACCCAATGCAATATGATTTTCTGACTGATACTTCCTAAAGTGTTGAGTGTGAATTCAAGTTAAATGAAATTCTTGACATCATCAGTCTTTTGTCTATTTACCATGATGTTGCTTATTGTTTTAATTATGAGGATTTTTGTTTTCTTTATGTTAAAGTATAATCCATACGAAAGGCTATAGTCTTTGTTTTTCATCAGTAAGAGAGACAAGTTTTCACTTTTGGCAAGCAAGCCCTCCTTCATTCTTGATTGTCCAATCATATAGACCAGCGTCTCAGATTATTTGTTTGGCATATGGACTGAATAAATATATCAAAGGGATACCACCCTGATGTGCATCTTTCTTGATTTCAAATCACCCAATATCCCCTTTATGTTTCAATGACCACCTCAAGAGGTCTATGTACAGGTCCCACATGAGCTCAATTAAGTTTTCTGGAATTTCCATTCTGTGAAATGTTATCCATAGTTTGCTATGAATCACACAGTTGAATGCCTTTACATAGTCAATTAAATACAAACATCTTTCTGGTCTTTCCTTTCAGTCAAGATCAATCTAACATCAACAGTGATATCCCTCATTCCACATCCCCTTCTGAATCTGGTTTGAATGTCTGGCTACTCCCTATAGATGTAGTGCTGTAATCATTTTTAAATTAACTTCAGCGAAATTTTGCCTAATATGCATGATATTAGTAATATTGTTTGATCCTTTCTGCATTTAGTTGAAAACTTTTCTTTGGAATGGGCAAAATTATGTATTTCTTCCAGTTGATTGGCCAAGTAGCTATCTTCCAAATTTCTTGTCATAGACTAATGAGTGCTTCTAGCGCTGTATCATTTTGTCAAAACATTAGAATTAAATTGTTTTTCACCAGTTATTTCAGCGCAACTTGTATTTCTTCATTCATAACCATCAGCTCTTGATCATATGCTACCTCCTGAAATGGCTGAACGTTGACCAGTTCCTTTTGGTACAGTGAGTCTCTGTATTCTTTACATCTTTTGATGTTTCCCGCATCATTCAATATTTTGCCTGTAGAATCCATCGATATTGCAATTGAGGCTTGAATTTTTTCATAGCACTTTCAGCTTGAGAAATGCTGATCACGTTCCTCCCTTTTGGGTTTCTTAATCCAGGTCTTTGCACATTTCATGATAATACTTGACTTTGTCTTCTAGAGTGGTCCATTGATAATTTCTGTTCAGCTCTTTTCCTTCATTGTTTCTTTTATTACCTTTATCTACTCTATGCTCACAAACAAGTTTTAAGGGTTTCTTCTGACATCCAATTTGGTCTTTTCTTTCTTTCTTTCTTGTAATTTTAATGACCATTTTCTTTTTTTATGTGTGATGTTTTTGATGTTATTCCACAACTCTTTTGTCTTCGATCATTATTGTCCAATAGCACATCAAATCTGTTCTTGAGATGATCTCTGCATTCAGATGTGATATACTTAAGGTCCTATTTTGGCTTTCATGGACTTGTTTTAATCTTCTTCATTTTCAGCCTGAACTTACATAAGAGTAATTGATAGCCTGTTCCACAGTTGGTCACTAGCCTTGGTATGGCTGATGATATTGAACTTATCCAGTGTCTCTTCCCACAGATATTGTCAATTTGATCCCTGTGTGTTCCATATGGTAAGGGTCACATTTACAGCCATTGTTTATGTTGTTGAAAAAGGATGTTTGCAACAAAGAAGTCATTGGTCTTACAAAATTTTGTCATGCTATCTCCACCATCATTTCTAGCACCAAGACCATATTTTCTAAGGCTGTAGATCCCGCCTCTTAATTTCGAACTTTCACATTCCAATCACCAATGATTATCAATGCATCTTGATTGGCCAAGTTCAGAATGAAGAAGTGGGTAGAATTCTTTGGTTTCTTCATCACTGGTTTTAGTGGTAGATGTGCAAATTTAAATAATAGTTGTATTGACTGATCTTCCTTGTAACCACACAGATATTATTCTGGACAAATAGTATTATACTTCAAGATAAGATCTTGAAATGTTCCTTTTGATGAAGAATGCAATGTCATTCCTCTTGATTTTGTCATTCCCAATATGTAAACAATATGACTGCCCAATCCAATACTGTCCATTTCACCTCAGTAATACCTAGGATATCGATCTTTTTGCGTTCCATTTCATTTTTCTAGATTCATACTTCATACATTCCCTCTTCTAATTAGTAATGGATGTTTTCAACTGTTTCCTCTCAATTTAAGTTGCCCTCCATCATCAAAGTTCTGAAAGCTTTACTCCACCCAAGGACGACTCTTCTTTCAGGAGGTAGCTTTTCCTCAGTCCTATTTTGAGTGCCCTCTGACCTGAGGAGCTCATCTTTAGGCACTATATTGAACAGTGTGTCACTGCTATACATATTTACACTATCAGTGTTGTTGTTGCTGTTAAGTGCCATCGAATCAGTTCTGACCCATAGCGACCCTGTATAGAGTTTCCAAGGAATGGCGGGCGAGCTTGAACCGCTGACCTTGCCGTTCATACCAACTTTGCAGTCCAGCACATTAACCCACAGCGCAATACCAGGATTCATAAAAGCACTTTTATTTCTGACCAAGATATAATTCTCTATCCTGAGAACTATCAAACTGCAAAACAAAGATTCTGAAGATCAATAGTGCAAATGATCTCACTTCACTTCCAAATGTTCTCCTGAATAATGGAAAAACAAAAAACCAAAAAGCCCAAGGTAAGCAGCTGTCAAGTTGATTCAAATCACAAAGAACCCATACGTGTCATAATATAACCATGTTTCATAGGGTTTTCAATGGTTTATTTTCAGAAGTACATCACCAGACCATTTTTCTGATGTGCCCTTAGTGGAATTCAAATTGCCAACCATTCATCTCAGAGCCAAATACTTCACAATTTACACGATCTAGGGACTCAATCCTCCAGAGTAAGAGTGGTCATTTACCATTTAGGTTATATGCATTTGTAGCAGGTCTCACTAAACCAACATTTCTCATTTTACTTTGGTATCACTGACCCTTCTTCCTTGGTTCCAAACTTACAGCTAGAAAAGACCATCACCTACGAGAAGTTGAATGAGTGGACCAGTGAAGAGATGATGGAATTATATGAAGTGCAATTGCATCTCCCAAAATTCAAGCTGGAAGAAAGTTATGACCTCAAATCAGCCCTGATCAGTCTGGGGATGAGCGATGCCTTTAGCCAGAGCAAAGCTGATTTCTCAGGGATGTCTTTGGAGAGAAACCTCTTTCTGTCCAATGTTTTCCACAAGTCTTTCCTGGACATAAATGAAAAAGGGACAGAGGCTGCGGCGGGCTCTGGGAGTGAGGTCGATTTCCGGATTCGACTCCCTTCCATAGAATTCAATGCAGACCACCCATTCCTCTTCTTCATCAGGCATGACAAAACCAAGAGTATCCTTTTTTATGGACGCTTTTGCTCCCCGTAAACAATGCACCTGTCTCAGTGAACAAGGCCTCATTACAGAGTTAAAATGCCCCATAGGGTGGAAAAGTTATCATTGTAGCCACTGTATTTTAAACTGGCCCTTTTCAGGATCAAATATTAGTAAGTAAACCTTAGAATAATGCTCTAGTGCATTTAGAGAGAAGAGCAGTTTTTATTTTTACCACTTAAACAATACTTGGTCTTAATGTGACTTTTATTTACAAAGGGGCTTCAGAAAATTGGTGGAAAAATAGAATTAAAAGGGAATGGAGGTTTTTCATGAACTTTCTGAAGCCTCCTCGTAGATTTATATTTTCACAGTTCACAGATACTATGTTCGATCCATTACAGGTCTTACACTCTTTGAGCCACCTGGTCACTGCATTATTATTCTTGCTCATCATATTTCACATGTATTATGAGGTTAAAAAAAATCCTTTACCCGGGCCTGATTTCTCCACTGCTTCAAAATAGCATATAGTTAAAGGTAATATGATATTAATAAAAGAGGTGTTTCTCAATGATACCATTTGATTGTTCTTAAGTTACCACTGTAAAATCATATTGCTCTTTGCTGCTGTTAACTCATTTAAAAATAATTACAGAACCACTTCTGGAGAAACTAGTGAAACCAGAGGTTACTTAATAATGTACCCATGTTGCCTTCTGAGTTTTCACAGGTAGATCTTGGTGGTGTGAGGTGTGAGACGAGGGAAGCTTTGTGAGGAATAGCATGGAAATTACCTCTGCAACTTTCCTGTGAATTTAAAAGGATTGCAGAATAAAAGTTATTTAAAAGGCAACAATGATTATAGGTAAGTTTTTAGACACATTCACATCCTGTTTTTTAAAAGTTTTGAAACTAAGAGTAAAGGTTTAATTTATTTAAGTATGTGAGCTGTTGTGGAGGCAGGATGTTTAGGTGTCTTCTGGGATCACGTTTGGTCTCCTTTGAGCTTCCTAGAAATGTGTGTGCGTGCCTGTGTGTGTATGTGTGTAGGAGCAACTTTATTGCATAAGAAGGCTTTACATGAGGATTTTTGCTGATGTTACATGTAGAACTTCTGCAAACAGAGCAAATAGGGTGGCTGGTTACAACCTGATGCAGAATCTTGGCATGACCAGGGCCAGTTGGGCAGAGACACTAAACTGGAAATATGATCCGAGGTGGTCGGATCATGCAGCACCTTGTGGTTCAACCATGAAGGGTAAGCACAGGTGGAAGTAGGGACAGAAGCACTCAGTGTGGGGACCTTGGAAACACCTGGGGTGGGCTCCTGGGCTGGGGTCAGCAATTCCTCCTGCCTTCTTGTGGCCCTCAGTGAAAACAGATATGGCATGAACCCAGACTTAAAGGATTGGTGCCTGTGTCTTCTTTTCCCAGATACCCAGGGTCCAGAGGAAGGGACAGACTTCCTACCAGGGAATTCACATCAGAACAGGTTTAATGAATGGATAGTGGAAGGAGGAAGAGAAGAGGAGACCAGTAAAATGCAAGGCTCTGCGTAATGGCAAATTGGAACCTTTCTACCTGCAGCCCTGCTGCTTTGAGCAGAGTTGGCCAGGGGTCCTGACTATAGAGTCTGTCCAGCCCCTCTGTAAATCAGTCCCTAAAACAGGACAGGAAGATCGGATGGCATCCAACTCTTACTTCAGAGTCGGCCATTGTCCACTAATCCCCAGGCCTTTGCCACAGGAACTGAGACTACAGCATTCTCAAATTGTGTTCTTTTATAATTGATTTTAGAGTCCTGGTGTGGTACTCTAGGTTAATGCAGTGGATTGCAAAGTTGCTTTGAACTGCAAAGTTGGTGGTCCAAGCTCACCAGCTGCCCCTCGGAAACCCTATATAAAGTCACTATGGGTCGGAACTGACTCAACAGCACTTAACAATAACAAAAACATAATTGATTTGAAAATATCCAGTGACTTTTGGTGTTAATTCTATTTCTTATTGTAAGCCTTCTATTGCTATTTGCCCCTGAGTCTGTTCTCACTCATGGTGACTCCACGGGTGTAGAGTAGAAATGCTCCATGGTTTTCAAGGTTGTGACCTGTCAGAAACAGACTGCCAGATCTTTCTTCCAAAGTGCCTCTGGGTGGAATTGTCAGGAGTGCAGTTCTTAAACATTTGAGTCAACTAGGGACTCCTATAAGCCTGTTGGGATAATATATGATGAAAAGATGGTTGTTGTTGTTGTTGTTAAGTACCGTCGAGTCGATTCCAACCCATAGCAACCCTGTGCAGGGTTTCTGAGGCTGTAAATCTTTACGGGAGCAGAAAGCCTCTTCTTTCTCCCGTGGAACAGCTGGTAGTTTCGAACTGCTGACCTTAAGGTTCGCAGCTTGATTCGTAACCACTACACTACCAGAGCTCCTTTGAAAAGATGGTAGACATGTATTTATCATCCTTACACTACAAATGTCCTAGAAAGATGCTGAGCCATTAGCCTTCATCATTTAGAAACAGTTATTCAACCTAAATCCACTAGAGAATTGCTGAGTGCATGGTGTCTCCCTGTCTGCTAATGGACATACAGTCTGTGCCTTGTGAGAGACAACTGGCCTGGGAAGAAACCCAGAACTCTATTAAGGTCAAAGGGAAAGGATACTCCTGACTCCAATAAATCCAAACAGCCATCAGGAGATGATCAGCCATCCCCAACTAAGGCAATATATGCCATCCACTGCCTTTAGGGGGCCTCCCATTAGCTTTACATTCATCCTCGTATATCGTTACATTGCCTTGGTTACAATCCCCTCCATGCATCATCAACCAACCAAATGGTGCACCCCACAAGCCTGACCCCTAGCTGTCAGCACACAGCCACTCTCAGTCTCTGGGTCTAGAGTTCCCAGCTGCTCCATCTCTCCACGTCATCATCTCTGCATCCATCTCTGGAGTCACTGTTTCTCTGGGTAGGGTCCTGCACTCCGCTCTTCTCCCTTGATGGTCCCAGGGCCCTCCACTCCTGGACTACAAAGTCAACCATCCCCTCCTTTTGCTACAAAACATCCACCTTTACATTTCCAACCTCACAGTCAGTCCTGATAGTAATGATTCACTATTGTGCCACATGAGTGCTATCCACATCTCCTTTTATCAGTCTTCCAGACAGATTGAATACTACTCAGTGGAGACTCTACCTTCCTCCAGGCCCTCTGGATCTAGGCTCCCTCTTGAAAGCTTCTTGCCATTGTAGCCCCCTCCCACCCCCATTTTGGGTAGCCAATGTCCAAGTTGCCCATCTCTTTCTATCCTGTGTATTGAGGGATGGGAAGGATCTCACTGTAAAGATTTGTTCCCTCTTTTGAGCTACTGCATCCATAGGTGTAAGTCAAGTTCATCAAATTGTATCAGATTACTTCCCCCCCCCACTTCTTTCTTCTTCTAGTTGACCTCTGATCATCTAGCTATTGGAGCCAGGTCAAGTGGGTATTATCTGTAAGTGTGGGTGTTCTTGTGCATATGCCCTCTCTTCTTATCAGCTGGGCACTTCATTTTCCACTCTAGTTCTCTGTGGCTATGTCACTGACTCTGGACCCAGGAGTCCCCAGGTCTTGCCACACTGCTGACCAACCAGATCTCCACCCAGGTTCTCAGGAGTGTATTGAGCGTGGTTGGACTTAACTCACAGCTTCATTGCTGTTTTTCCCTCACTTCCCCTTATCGATGACGAATGTGGTCACCAATCAGAGCACGTGTCTGCTTGTGTATTACCATTGAGTCTCAGTCTTGGAATGGGGTTTGCCCTGAGGGGACCCGACCGCTTGCCTTGATGTCTCCTGAGCAAGCAACTTGCTTGTTCTTGTAGTAGTCAGTCGGACTGCCTTTATTGTTTTGTATTTTTCCTGTTAGCCTTTTTTCCCAAGAAGTATCTTCTGTTCTAGCCACTCCAGACTGGTCTGCTTGTCCTTTCAAGTGGAAATTTCCCACCGCAGAAGATTCTGGATGAGGTTCAGGATTCCCCCTATGGCCTTATGTAATGCAGAGGCTCCACAGGAAGCCTCCTTCACTGGGCACATTGTAGCTCCATTTTAGGTATTCAAATCAGTTATAGGCAGAAGACGGACTTACAAGCTTTCTATGGTGATATTTCTGGCTATTTTTCTCTCTCCCCCTCAAGTGTCTATTTTATAATGGTATGCCGGGAAAATCAAGATTCAAAAGACAGCCAAGAATCTTAACATTATTTCTCCCCTTTTGCCCATTCCAACCATCTCTCAATCCCTATATCCCAGAGCCTTGTTTTTCCAAGGTTGTGCATACTTCATTGTTTACCTCTGTCCCACTTAGCCCACGCAAACCTACCTAATTGTTTTCCTATCCACCTTGTTCTTCCAATTCCTTCCCCCTTCTTGTATTGGGGTGTCTCCACTTTTATTATCTGCTTTTACCTTGTATTGTCCTCGCCACCTATTTTCTGGACATGCTATGTAACATGTAGACATGGCTGTCCTGTCAGTATTCAGTCCTGGGAGAGCAGTCTTCAGTGTTCATCTTATAAAACACAAAGTGGGGCAGGCATGGGTGCAAACTTAACACAAAGCCCTGGGATAGTAGCTGGGATTTGGGGAAAGTAGGTTGGTTGTCATCACTTGTCCGTCATTTTGTCATACTGTGTTGGCTTGTGTGCTGATGTGATGCTGGAAGCTATGCCAAGGTATTGTTATATACCAGCAATGTCACTTGTAGTGGACAAGTTTCATCAGAGCTCTCAGACTAAGACAGACAAATCCACTTCTGAATGGTTAGCTGCTAGCCACCTTATGCATTAGCATCAGAACACTGTCAGATATAGGAGCAGCAGATGAGCCCCTCAGTTTGTAAGCACTTAAAGTATGACAGGGGATTAGCTGCCTCCTCAGAGTAGAATTGGTCCTAATGACTTGGATGAGGCAAAGATTTGGGGTCCTTTATTTGCTGATATGACCCAGCTCAAAATGAAAAAAAAAAAAAGCTGCAACCATCCTTTAATAATTGAAATGTGGAATGCATGT